GGGGGGGGGTTAAAATGAACGATTTTATGGTACGGTGTCTGGACTTTTTACGTATTACAATATTTCCACGACTTGTAAATCTTAAAAATGCTTCCTCTTTGTGTTACAATCAGCATCTTTCAGATTTTCTGTCCTTGAACTTTTATCAAAATTATGTCGTTTTTCTCAAAACTTCAATTTTTGATAGCTTTTTTTCTCATCTACTTTCTTATTTTCTATTTGATTCCAATAAAATTTTGTTTTTAACACAGTAACCTAACTTTGTAGAAGGGGAAAAGCAAATCGAAGCCTTTATAAGTGAGTTGCATGGATAATTATGTAATCGAATTCAAAGGCATGAAGTTATTCTTCTCTAACTTTTTTCCTATTCAAGATATCCAAGAGCCCAACTGCATACAATTTTGTATTGAGCATATCTATCAATGTACCAAATTTGTTTAGTAAAAAAAAATACTTTTTACTTTTATGATAGTTGTTATTTTTAATATGGCTGCGTTACCATGGTAACCGCAGATTTAAACCAAAAAAAATTACAATTACATTTTAGAGATGTTCTCCCGTTATACTAAAACCTTGCTATAAGGCTTTATCTGGTAGGTCATAGTTACCTATATAGGTCTATAAACCACACACCCCACCCCTCTCCTTAACCGAATTCAAGCTGGACTCAGTACAGTTGTGAATGCAACAAACCTGTGTCTTGCGTGCTCATATTAATTTATGCAGTTGCGAGGGCCGTTAAACTCTTATCAAACTAAACTACAATATTTATCTTTATCTACAACTCATATCTTCTTTCTCTCCAACAATATTTATCATTATCTACAACTCATATCTTCTTTCTCTCCAACAATATTTATCATCATCTACAACACATATCTTCTTTCTCTCCAAAAATATTTATCATTATCTACAACACATATCTTCTGCGGGTGGTTGGCGGGTGCTCTGATGTGGTCTGCTCCTTCTTTCCTATCAAACACCTATCATCCTTATCTACCCTCCTTCTTTTTTATGTTTGTTACGGTACTCGCTTGTAACACCTCTAATCTTCTGGCGCTCATATGACCGTACGCAGTTGCGAGCACCGAAAAGCCTCTACTAACACAAAACAAACACATATCTTCTTTCTGTCCAACAAATCTACCCTTATCTATAACTCGCATCTTCTTTCTCTCAAACAATATCTATCTTTATCTGCTCTATGTGTCGTCTATCTCTCTAACAGAACCTATCGTTATCTACAACTGTTTCTTCTTTCTCTCCAACAATATCAATATTGATCTACAACTCTATCTTCTTTCTTTTCAACACCATCTATCGCCATCTATAACATGTATCTCCTTTCTCTCGAACAATATATATCTTTATCTACAATTCATATCTTCTTTCTCTCCAACAGAATCTACCACAATCTATAACATATCTCCTTTCTCTCAAACAATATTTATCTTTATCTACAACTCTATCTTCTTTCTCTCCAACACTATCCACTGTTATCTACAACACGTATCTTCTTTCTCTCCAACACTATCCACTGTTATCTACAAGAGAGAGAGAGAGAGAGAGAGAGAGAGAGAGAGAGAGTATGTGTGTGTGTGTATGTGTGTGTGTGTGTGTGTGTGTGTGCGCGTGCGTGTGTGTGTGTGTGTGTGTGTGTGTGTGTGTGTGTGTGTGTGTGTGTGTGTGTGAGAGAGAGAGAGAGAGAGAGAGAGAGAGAGAGAGAGAGAGAGAGAGAACGGAAATATTTTTCTATCTCTATAAAACGAATGTTTTGATGAAAGTTTCTAGTTATTCACGTTTCAACTTTATTCTGACCGTTCATGAATTTTTCTTGCATTGTATATATATATATAATTATTTTTAGTGAACAAATTTCCAACCTCACTATGAGACTGTTTTTGTCATTTTACACATATACATTTCTATATATACTTTGTTTTACGTACACGCATGTCGATTAATTTTAAAGATGTGATGTCTTTTTGGTTGTAATGCACATTGAGCCTTTTTAAAAAAAAGAAAATGGAAATGCGGAGTAATAATGCTATTTATTATTATTATTATTTTTATTATTACAACACTTATATTCGTTCTATCCAACACTATCCACTGTTATCTACAACACGCATCTTCTTTCTATCCAACACTATCCACTGTTAACTACAACACGTATCTTCTTTCTATCAAACACTATCCACTGTTATCTACAACACGCATCTTCTTTCTATCCAACACTATCCACTGTTATCTACAACACGCATCTTCTTTCTATCCAACACTATCCACTGTTATCTATAACACGTATCTTCTTTCTGTCCAACAATATCAATATTGATCTACAACTCTATCTTCTTTCTTTTCAACACTATCTATCGTTATAAATAGCATTATCCTCTTTCTCTCCATCAATATCAATATTTGTCTACAACTCTATCTTCTTTCTCTCCAATACTATCCACCGCTATCTACAATACCTATCTTCTTTCTCTCCAATACTATCCACCGCTATCTACAACACCTATCTTCTTTTTCTCCGCATATAGACGTCGGACAACTCCGATTCGGTGACGTTCTTCACCCAGTCCGGCTGGAGTCGCGTCCTGTCGCGGTTGGTGCAGGTGGTCGACGGTCCTGGGGTGTGCGAGACGAGACTGAGCCGAGGAGAGGCCGCTCAGAAAATGATCACCGATATGTCGGGGGGCATTGCCCTCTGCCCCAACGGCTTCGACGCTCTGATCATCGTCTGCAGATACGGGATTCGCTTCACAGAGGAGGAGCATGAAGCTGTGGAATCACTGAAGTCGGTGTTCGGCGCCAACTTCATCAGAGATTTCGGAATAGTTATCTTTACCCACGGAGATCAGTTAGACGCAAATAACAAGAAACGCGGACGGCAACCCGAGACCTTTGAGACCTGGTGTCGCAAGCAGAGCGGGCATGTGCGGAGTTTGATGGACGAGTGCGACAACAGATGCCTTCTTTTCCGCAACATGGACGAGGAACCTGGCCAAGTGGAGCTGCTTCTACAAACAGTGGAAAGACTCAAGCAACGCGGAGTGCGCTACTCAAAAGATATGTTCCATGCAGTCAGGGATGAACAAGAACGCTTCATAACGCGGGAAAACGCAGTCGCGCTGAGGGCAGAGATTCAGAAAAAGATCAGTCTGCTCCAAGACGGATTGAATCGCCTGCTTCTATTGGCTGAAAATACCAGTGACATTGACCACTTAGAAAGCGCCTTTGAATCTCTTCAGAATGACATCACAGCTTTGAAGAGCGAGATCAAAATCCACGATAAGGGTACGGGGGTTCTGGACTCACTCAAAGACTGTCTTGAGAGCATGGGACAAAGTTTACTTCTGAGAAGAGAAAGAATGAGAGCCGCCAACAAGGCGAACAAGCTCCAGGATGAGCTCGACGATTTGAGAATTCAAATTCGGGAAAATGAGAGGCAGCTACAGGAAGCTACCACCCAAAGCAAAAGTAGCATTACGCCGCAAATGGTTTTCAGTGCAATAGCTGACATCGCCAAGATTATCATGCAAGTTGCGCCTCTGTTTACGGCAATTACGAGCGGCAATGAAGACCTCTCAGTGGGTCCCACTATTTTAGAACTGTCCGATTCTGAATAGGTGGAAAATCAGAGACCACCAATCCCTGTACAAAGCACAGCCTTGGTGGAATCGAAAGGTCTTGAGATAGGAGCAAGTGTTTTGTGAGTCATTTCGAAAGCTAATACAAACAACAACAAAAAACAACAAAAAAGGAACAGCACAAACAAACAAATTAACAGATTTATGACAACTATTGCCCAGAATATACAAAATCCCAAATGACGCTGGCTGCATTGACGTCCGGGAACTCTACAGAAGTGGAAGCTAGAGAGTTGGTTCTGTTCTTGAAATACGGGGTGCCCACTACAGCTGGATCGGGCCGATCGCCCGACTCGATCTCCTGAAACTGAAAACAAACACGTTTGTTTTTGAGGCGATCGAGTCGTGCGATCGGGCCGATCGGGCGATCTCATCCGTAGTGGGCACCCCGTATAAGGGAAAACGGGAGATGGGAAAAGCTCTACTGGCAACACCGGTATTACCCACGGCCCATTGGCAAGATCGATTCGATTCCTTTCGGTTCGGATTGGTCGTCGGGGCTGGCCGGATGGTCTTCCATGGAGGGAGATAAACTACCAGCACAAGCCACAAGTCGGACGAAACCGACGACGAACTTCAAGAACAAATTATGCGTTTGTTTTCAAGGCCGCGAGTCGGGCGGTCGGTTTGAGGCAGGGTTCTGCAATACAGTATAGTGTGCACTGAAGCCGCTAGGAACCGAACTGAACGGAACCGATCCTTCAATGGGCACTGCCTAAAAGACTTCACAATCGTGGTTTTGTGGAAACAGGTTCATGCCCCTTGTCGCCAGCAGTTCGATGTCAATCAAATCTATGCAACAAATCGCTGACAAACAGCAATGCCATTGGCGCTCATGTGACCTTATGCAGTTGCGAGCGCCGTAAAACCTCTACTAAAACAAAACATCAAAGTCAATCACTTCAACTTAGGGGAGACAGCTTTGTTTCGCAGAATAGCAAGAACTGTTTTGTTAAAGTTATCGCCCATTATCATATTCTAGCAGCTCCAATTACTTAGTGTACTTTTTTTTTGTACTAATGATAAATAGTACTCAACGTGTTTCTAAATTCAGCAGGATTTAATACATACTCGTCATAAACAATCCAGAGGCAGCCTTGTAGATGAACGATCCGTCTAGCCTGGCATGACTGTCAAGGAAGTTTGTCTACATCGAGTTTGAAATCTGACAATAATCCACCCCCCTCCCTCCAGTTGTTATAAAACCAAGGAACGCGCGGAAAATACGAAGCATCAGAAGACTCCTACCCCCCCCCCCCTCTTTCACCCCCCCCCCATCCCAAATGCCGTGGTGGACATTGACATAACAGATGTACTTCTACTACTGTCTAAAAATATTTTGAACGCCTAAATTAAATTGGTCACCTCTATTTAAAAACAAAAATAATATACCTTTTCTTTATGCAGGAAAAAAATAACTAATTTATGAGCTTGATTAAGTCTTTTCTTTTTTAAGACAGCATCAAAATAAGGAAATCAAAGAAATCGGCCTTTTTTGGCAGATGGGCAATTTTAAAAAAAAAAATTCTTTTTTTTTTTGGACTCACTATCTTTTATGTCCACTTAAAAACACATTTACGTATGGATTTTAAAATAAAAACATTGATGAAAGGCACAAAATTTTAAATTTTCAGTTTCCAAGGACTCCCAGGCTATGGAAATTACCCAACTTTGGCTGCCGTTTTCTCGCTAACTTTACTTCTGAAACCAGATGACCCTGACCTCCTTCAATCGAAAATATTTAGACTTCTATTAAACATAGATGGATATTTTTTCACTTAAAGGAAGGCAAATTAACAGTCTTTGACCCTATCCGTACGTCGTGTTTAACTATCGTATCCATACGACGTGGGGAGCTCTGTTCCACCACTTTCCAAAGAGGAAATTCACTCGTTAATCCGATCTGTACGCTTTGCATAGCAGTCTGTCAAAATGATTTTTTGGAGAAATACTGAGTTTCAAAGAGATCTTTGTACTAAAAGTATTCTAAAATGTGAAGAATACAACCCCGGGGGTACAAATTAACCCCAGGGTGTACGGATAGGGTTAAGGTCTTACCAAAAACACGTCATATGCCCAAAAGTTGACGAACGCCTGATTCCACCGTGTCACGACTGGACACAATAGTGAGGCAGCGTGGTGGAATCAGGCTCTCGTCAAAATAATTAAAGTGAAGAAACTTGCATTTTTCCGCAGGTTTGTGAATTTTTAGAAAATTTCGTTTTTTTGGCTCAACACCTTTTATGCCCGTTAAAAAACTCATGTCTGTGTGGATTTTTCAGAAAAACGTTGATTAAATGCACAAAAAATAAAAAATTCAGTTACCAAGGACTCTTAAGCTAAGGAAATAACTAATGTTTGGCAGCATTTTTCTCATTAATTTTACCTCTGAAAACAGGTGACTCCCACCTCCTTCATTCACAAATATCTCGACTTGTATTCAAGATAAATGGGTATGTTTTAATCCAAATAAAGACAAGTGAACAAGCTTTAAGATGATACTAATAACTCTACATGTCCAAAAATTGAGGAGAGCCTGATTCCACCACGCTGCCTCACATCCCATAGGTTTCTTTACTATGAAACACTTACTGTTGTTGTTTTTTGTTTTTCTAAACTTATAGTGCGTGCATTTCTATTTTGTGAAGTGGATTTTTCTAATCTACATTATTTTGTTTTGCTCAACTTGTATTGACCTAGTTTTGATCACTATGTATAATGTACT